CCCCAAAACCCCAAAACCCCAAAACCCCAAAACCCCTAATGCACAAAATAACTGAGATTTTAGAATATTGAATAATAAACTAATTTATTGTCTTTTTGGTTTTTGTCTCAGTTTATCACACAAATCAATTATAGTATGCTTCTTCAAATCTTACTAATTTAACATCAATGAATTCTCCGCTTTATAAAAATTTACCTTCTCCATCATCAATAGGAATTTTTATATCTTTCACCCTAATTTCGTTAGCCCTTCTTTGTTCATTGAAATTAAAATACTGATAGTTGAGTTATTTAGCTACTGTTTCTTCGATATCTTCAATATATTTATTTTTCTTTTTATGAGTATCGTCATTTTTCTGTAGCACCTCTTTCTTTTAATCTGACTTCCTTATGTAAGCCACTAATTAATCATTTTAAATAAAGTAATCTGGGTATTGCTTTTGAAATAAAAGATCGGCTGAGTCAAAAGCAGAATAATAGCTGTAAATAGTAATTTCTACAATCTTTATTACGATTGAGCCCTTGTAGAAAGACTATGGATTAATAACCTTATATGATAGTACATTTTTATCAAATAAATATTCTACAACAGTACTTTCATTCTAATTTGTGTAGTTAAAAGAGGATCCATCATCTAGATAGATAAAGCCTTTCGCCTAATTTGTCTCATTTAGGTAAATCTCAAGTCTAATAGGATTGTACTAGATTTTCAATAGAGATGTGGGATTTTGGTGTAATTTTAAAGGTATGATACTTCCTCCTTTAATATAGACAAGCTACTAAAACTGATTCAATTCTACCTCTCTAAACTTTGAATCACCTTCTATGACCTCTTTAGTATAGTAATTATACCAGAGAGCTTCTTTGGGCAATTTATGTTTGACTGGATATAACTTTGATGTTTTTTATGCGACAAATTACTCGAAATCATTGCTGAAAGTCTGTGTCTAAGGTACCAGTTTTGGACAAATTAGGATCGAATCACCAATCATAAATTATCTGGAGATATGAAAGAGCTCTTTGTCTTTTGGGAAATTGTACCAAAGTGGTCTGGCAATTGGTAGTCCTTTTGCGTATGCTAGATAAAATTGATTATACCTAAAAGTTGTAAAAGATGATAATTTGTTACAGATAGTGAATAAATGTATATCTATTCTAAATGGCTTCTTTTATCACTCGCTTTATTGATGGTTTTTGTAAATACGGCTCCCTATACTTAGCCTCAAGATGGCCATGAGCTCTAAAGAATGGATACCAGCTTCCTAGTTGATAAAACATGATAAATAGATCATCTGTTGGATTTCCATAAAATCCAGGCACATCTGGTCCTACAAACTATAATCCTGCAAGGTTCAATGTCATAACTTAGGATATCGATACCCACAATTCATCTAATTTAGATCGATTATCGCCTGTCCATTTGGCTGCATACTTCTGTGAGCCAAAGAAAGAGGATCTAGTAAGAATAAAAGGCCTTCTATTAAATTAGTCTCTAAATTAAAGACCTTTATAAGTAGCCATAGACATTAATAGACCATAGGCATTGTGGACATCACGATGTAGTACAGTTTTGTCATTAGATAAAACATGTAAGTTATGCTTTGGCATAATAGTTTCATCTTGATTAAAAACTGAAGGCTCATTCATATCAATCCATATATCAAATAAATCATTCGTTCCCTTGAAATTGTTATAGAGATATTGGGACATCCAAAATTCCTAAGCTATTGGATTTAGGAAATCAATCCATACACTATCACCTGGCCAGCAGAATCCAGTAAAAATTTCTCCATATATATCCTTAACAAATATACTGACAGTCTGGTTGTAATCTTCATCCTATTCTTTGTCTAGAGATTTTCCAATACTATAGGTTTTATATAAGGGGTCCTGTTTTATGTGAGGATCAGTTATTACAACTAGTCTTCTTTAAGAGCTTCGAATTGATGCTGACATCAGAGCCAAATCTTCATCATTAAATGTTTCCTAATTGAAAGTAAAGTATCTATTTCCATCTGTGTGAGGAATATCAAGCCAAATAACATCTAGTGGGATTTAATGTCTATCAAATTCTTTACTGTACGAGATGGTTCTTTTAGCAGAGGATTCTTACTCCCATTTAGAGTAGTGGAATCCTATTGAATAAAATGGAGGAATATTGGGGTATCCTGCTATTCTAGACAAAATACTTGATATTTTCATAGGCGTCGTATTTTCATTACTATTTGAGGCAGAGGCAAAAATGAAAAATTCAAGTTTGCCACCTTCTGTGATGATATTCACATGCTTTCTTTATTAATTTTTAAGACTAGGAGAAAATAATTTGTTGATATCCACCCAAGTCTCAGCAGAATTATACAACATGATACTTTCATCATGATCAATACTATGCCCTGTAATGTATGGGAGACTACTATAAAGTCCTTTAATGCTTGCTTCTTTATGAGGAAATGCATCTACATTATAAAGTCTAAATGGGTCTGTTTTATCTGTTGTTGTAAGAGTAAATTAAGCTGTTCTTTCAGGTAGTCCATATAAATCTTCAGATTCCATAGTGAATCCAATCATAAAACTTTCCCTAGTTAATCCCAAAGAAAACTCCTGGTACACTTATTGCAAAAATTATGACCCAATGTAAGGGTTATTTTAATTATCAGTGAAATTGAAAATATTCTAACTTTTGGCTATTGGTAGTGATTTGAAAAATGGTAATAAGCATTCAGTATCATTCAGCTTTAATTCACCTTAACCTGGGTAATAGTGCAAGCTTTCAAAAAACAAGGTATCTTGATTATTGACAATAATCGTCGTAATATTATTAACAGTCTGGATAATTCTAAATGGATGAAATTTCACCGTATATCTATAGAATTCTTAACCATCATTGCTGTATCCTTCGAATAGTAGCTAATCTTTCTATATTTTTACATATGACTTTAGATTTATCAAAGGTTTAATAGCTCTAGGGCCTGCATTTCTACTGGCACCCATATCGTGCTCTGAGAGTCTGAATCTCTAATTATTTGCTGATTTTTCATCTATTATAACTTGTAACACGCCATCCTCATAAAATGTCATGTTCATCAATAATCTTTAAGCTATAAAGCTGCTTTTATCTCTGATATGATAGTCCTGAGAACACGAAAGATATAGCTAAGCACTTATATACTGATCTTCCTGATATAATTATAAGTTACTTGCTTATTTCTTACAATTTTTATTTTGTTCTTATCTATATTGTAGGTAAAAAATGGAGTATCTCATTTTAATATCTCATTATATAGCAGTCTATTTCTGATGCAAAATCCTAATTAATTTTTTTAATCAAATTAATATTTACCTTATTCATGGCAAGATCTAATATTTCCAAAAGAGTTTTATATTAGTCCTATAGCCTAAAGTAGCAAGAGGAAAAATGATAATCTAAGTTTTATGAGATTATAGTTTAACTTCATTTAAGTATATTTATAAACAAGTCAATTAATTAGCTAATTTAACACTATAATATCACATTTTTTTAAATTAGAAAGGTTCTATTCATTAAATTGCTTAATTTTATTCAATATAAATAATCATACTTTGGATAAGTTGTCATTTTTAAATGACGGGGTTTTGGGGTTTTGGGGTTTTGGGG